AAATCTTGTCTTCTTCAAGATTTTTCTCATTTATAAACCAAGTCGACGTGAAAACGTAACCCTAATTCAGTGAAATGATAATGTCTCAATTTTTTTTTTTTTTTAATTTCATTATCCAACTTGTATAATTTAAAGAAATGGCTTAAAATAATTCCTATACCTGGTAAAGCAGAGGTCCAACAGCAGAATTCAAAGAAAATGATACCAAAATGTTCAACTCGACTCATTCCAAGGCCTTCAGACTCTAGCTGTCAGTTAAGTGAAATCCATGCCTTCTGTTGGTCACAAATAATACAATAGCAAATGTCAGAGAGAATTTATGACAAGTTTTGACAGCAGGATGTTCCGTTAGAGGTGTGGCATGTGACCTTTACTTTATTGCTTATATTTCCATAAAGCAAAAGCTTTCATGCTAAACATTGATAGTTTAGTTTGTGGATATATATAGTATAAGTGAGAAATTCCATAAAAAGTTAAAAGGCCTTAGAGGGATAGTATAAAATGTTACAATTAATAGTTTGGACTGAAGAAGTGTCATACAAAACAGAGTGAAGGGTTATCTATTATAAAGATTTTTTTACCTTTAAGTCTAAACATTCTTGGTCATCTTACTGGTAAGAACTTTTAATGTAATTGCTTTTACGGTGTATATTGGTGAGAGTATCAATGTGAATGGAAAAAAACTGCACTGTTTGTTCCCACAAAAGATTAAGATTGTATGTTTATGATTTATACATTATAATTATTTTTACCACTGGGCATTATTAGTATTGAAATCATTATTACTAGAGAATGTACATCTTTGTAGGCCTAATATTTATGATATACAAGACGTACATTATGTTGAAAAAAGGAACAATTATTGCTGAATAGATAACTATTTACTCACAGATTTTACTGTTCTATTGTTGGTAAAATGTAAGGCATCAAATTCAAGAAGATCCTTGGTGTTAATGAGGTTTATTGATATAAAGTTGCTGTTAAAGCTAAGAGAAATTGTGAATGTTTTTTAGCCTAAAATATAAAATTTTATTTGAATGGATTTATAGTCCAGTCATCTCAAGATAGAAATCAAGAATGAACAAAATTTGCTAACATTAATTCAACTACTAATGATATCTTACTAAAAGAATCATTTATGATCATATCTTATTTGAAACTTTCAGTGTAGTTTAGCAATATTATACCGTAGTCTATTAAAACAAATACTATCGTAAATTTAAATAAGCAGAGTTACATCAATTTAACCTTCCTTTGTTGTTTTTTGAATATGTCTACTTTTGTTTTTAATTTAGTTCATATATATATAAAACATTCTACATAATACAAAACTTGTGCCAAATTTCCAGACTAGGAAGGTGCCAGGGAACTGTTTGTCGATTAATTTGACTTCTGTTGTTAGCAAGGTGTTAGAATCAATCATGAGAAAACATTTTTGTTCCCCTGTGCTCTATCACTTAAAAGTTCATATCCTTTTAAAAACATGGTATTTATAATCCTAACTAATACTCAGTATTTATAGTTCTAGCTAAAACTTTATATCTGTAACCACAGTTAAAACTCAGTCTCTATAATTGTAGCTAAAATTAAGTATTTACAATATTGGCTAAAACTTGATATTTATAATTTTAGTTATGAAAAATGCCAACTGTTTCCTTTTTATTGAATTCAATTTGTCCTATTATGAAAAACATTTTTGGACTTCAATTTTCACAGTTTATACTTGCACTTACTAGTAGAGGTCTCTGTAATAGAGCTTGTTCAGTCTAGAAAAGTGTGTGTGTGTGTATTCATAAAAGATGGAAAAGGGACCATTTTATCCTTCGTGGTTGTCATTGGACATCCACACTTGAGAAAAGTAATATTGTAAACTCGTTCTTTATTTCCTGTGAACTGATGGCTTCCACTAATGCCAACGGAAACTCATTCCAAAGGTCAATCATTCAGTTACAAATGTATATAAAACTGGTCCTTTCCAAATCTTATACTTGAATCCTTTCATCCTATTAGTAACAGAACACAAAGACATGAAGAGACGTTTGTCCAATTGATTTCCTAGATAATCTTGTAAGCTTCAGTAGAATTACTTTTAATTCATCTTTTCTCATGAAAAATAAGTTTGAGATCTTAACATATCCTTAAGCCAACCCTTCCATCCCTTGAGTCATTATAGTAGCCTTCCTCTGAACCCTTTAATATAAGTCAATAAAGGATAAGGAGACCAAACTTATACACAGCATTCTAAGTGAAGCCTAACTAGTGATATTTCTAGGGTTAATTATCTCTTTTGGCTTTCAATCAATATGTATATAAATATCCCATGAAGTGCTATTAGCAGTGCTACTAGCAACAGAGTGCATCATCAGTGGCATAAGTGACTCATCCACCACTATTACCAAATTCCTTTTATTCAGTTATGCTACTGAGTGGGTTCCCATCTACATTAAACATGTGATTCAAATTATGATGATAATTTATGATAAACATGATGAATTACCTTGCCTATAATGTCCAGTTATTACATCCTTAAATATTTACTTTTTTCATATTTAGTTATAATAATTGTCTTTGTGTAGAAGTTTTCTGTTTGAATTGATGATGAAATACAACTTTTTGTTCACACAACTAATAATTTTCCTTTATGTTTCATGCCCTGAAGCAGAATGCAAGACAGACTGATTCAGCAATCTGGACATCAGAACCACAGTTCTTTACTCTCCCTTGTAGCACACAATGCATCTTTTTTTGTTTCAGTTATGAGATCAGGGAAATGCCTTTTGACTAGCCTACTCGGCTTTGCTGATTTAGATAGACATTCAGACTTTGGTCTGATAGATCACTTTATCAATATTATAAATCTATATAAGAAAGACCAAAGGCCCAAACACAGACCCCCTGATGTACTCCAGTAGTAACAAAGATCCAGTTTGATTGGATTTCTTTAACAATCTTTTCCTTTCTCCTATTCAATCACCCTATAATCCAATTAATTAGTCTTTTCCCACCCCCTATCAACATGATTTTTATAGCTAATGTCTGACAACTATAAAAAGGTCCATGCCTTTCCATTGTCCAGATAACAAGTAATGCCTTCGGCTCCATAAAAAAAAAAAGTAAGATGAAGTTTCCCTTTGTTCAGTCCAGTTTATTATCTTCAGCTTATTAGAAACAATAGAATTTGTTCATCAATAGATTTTATGGGTAGAATTCAAAAACTTGCTTTCATTTTTCATAATAAAGTTTTCTGATTGCACAAATCCAATTCAAAATTCGTTCAATTCTGTGGGAAATTCAGCAGTATTCTTGTTGTGGGTTTAGAAGTTCTACAGATTATCATAACCTTTTAAAAACCTTCACATCTAAACTTTAATTGCTTGGGATATTCTTTAGGACAGTGGTAACCAATGTTAGTGTAATGACCACCATAAATTTGACCCCCTCCCACCAGTTTCGTATATGGTATGACATTACGTCATTAGATTTTTTGATTACTTTCTTTGTTACGTTAACACCTCTTTTCTTGCTATGTATTATTATTTTCTAGTACTTTCTAGAAGTGTATCATGTTTCCTTTTCAGCCTTTACAGACATTTATTATTATTACTTCCTGTAGTCAATTTTATGTGTTTGTTACAGGGGTTACAATAAGACTGATGATAAACAATTTTTTACATACTACATATTATGTTTAGCATGTTTTCTTCTTCTCAGTTTTAATACTGTTATATTATCATGGTCAATTTATGTATTTTATATTGTATGTTCATAAACATTACTTTTGGGTTGTGTTATGTGAAATTTACTGCTGCTAATTCGACATGGTTTGAACTGTAACTTGTCACAGATGCAAGTTGGTTCTGATGTTATACAGTAGGAGTGGCTTAATGCATTTCTTTGGTCAAAAGATGCTAGGGAAAGTGGAGAGGAAAGTTACAGTTTTCAAAGATACTTACTCCTACACCAGTAGTTCAAGTCAACTAATGTTTCTGTGTTCCTGTAGTAAGTTATAATATGTTATTTATCTGTTATGTTCATCAATGGCATTGGTTATACTAGATAGTGTATCAAATGTTATTGCTTTTTTTATTATTAATATACCTTTATTATAAAAATTGTTTAACAGTGTAGCTTTAAATATGTATTTAGGACTAGTCTAAATGTTTAAAGTTGGCCGAAGAAAGTGACATAATATTGGGATAATGGACAAAAATATTGTTAACAATATTGCTATAAGTAGAAACATAAAAAAAGTATATTTAAATTGCTATACTGATGGACAGGTTGATTTTAACTTTTGGTCTAAGTACAAAGTTTAATCAAATCAGATATTATCATTATTTCATTTACGTTATCTTATTTTACTAAATGTAGTAATAAAGCTTTTTTTTTCCTCAGACTTGCTAAACTTTTTGCCACTACTGTTGTGAATAAAAATTTAATTTTTGATGCTAGTTATGAATACCTTCTATTCTCAGGAAATGTTAGGACTAAAAAAAAATTAATGTTGTGTTTTAGAAATAGTACTTTTTAAAGATTATTAATATACACTTTATACAAGTTTTACATGTTTTCAAAAACTTAGTTGTAGAAACTAGTTCCTAAAATTGTTTTTTTTTTTTTTCAGTGAAATTCATTAACAGGGCCATCTGGTAGCTAGCGAAGAAGTCGTTGTGGTTTTTTTGTTTTTAATGAAAACGTTTTTGTGTGTGTACATATATTATGATTTTTGATTTTCAATATAATTCACACATTTCATGTCTGATAATTTGTTTCTACTTTACATTTTGTTAGTTTGTAATAGTATCATTCTGAAACAGAGGGAACTAAATGCGTTTGTGTGTAACCAATTAGACATACTTTTTTTTTTTCCCCACAAACTTTGGAATTTTCTGCCCAATAAGATTTGCAGTGAGTTATTGAAGTAATAATAATACTTGTTGTTCTTTAATTAGTTTTACTGAAGAAACACCAAGTGTATTCTTGAAAAATAGAAATTTTATAAAAGTCATTTATTGTATGTTGAGATTAATGGGTTGTACAACTGTTCAAAGATTTAAATAAAATGCTCATTGAGATTGATGTGTTATTTTTGTTTGAGTTCCTACCAGATGTGTGGTTTTTAGCACACTTATCTTATTCATATATGTGCATGTATTGTTAGTTTTATGATGGTGGTGTGTTTCAGCATATTGTTTTTGATGAAATCAGATCCAGGTTGCTGAATCAATAGGCTGATACTAGTATACGTATTTCATCAGACAATTTCTTCACAGTTAAATATTCTTGCTATTTTTAAACAAGCAACACTGTACTTCTTGTATTTAACATGAACATTAAAGTAAAAATTTCCTTTAATTATTTGTGTGGAGAGAACTATTAGAGGATACAGCTGATTGAGTTTATTTTAACATATTAACCTTTACACAGTTAAATACAATGAACATAATATTTTCTTGACCAGCTGTTACTGGTAACTGGATCTTTTTTAGCTTGATCATAATTGTTTAAAGTTATTTGCACATGAAAAAAAAAACTCCCACGATCAAAGTGATTTGTTCTTTGCATAAATATATGTTAACCTAGCTACAATTTCATTGTCAAAGATTATTTATTCATACATATATACCTAATCAAGTTGCTGTAATTAAGGGTATAGATGTTTATCAGCACACAACTAGAACTTTATCAATTTACACTGCACACTTGTCAGTGGTTTCCTTTTTGAGCTTTTTACTAGTATAAATGATGGTAATAACTACAATCTTTAGTGTAGATTGCTTATGTGTTACTTTACAGATTATAAAAAGCATTGTATTGTTTGCAAGTATTCAGTTTTTATTTATAGAAAGATGTATAAATATAAGGGATTTGATATTGAGAAACAGACTGATGGTAAACGTTTATATAAAAGTCACCTTCCAGAGTTGTTAATTTTGTAGCTGATCATTTGATTTGATAATTTTTTTGAAGATTTTTTTTGTGTGCAAGCTAAACTGAAGAAATGTTATATTAAATGTGTTCCTTGATTAAAAAGTTGTAACTCTCTTTCAGACATGGCAGGAAATCTGTGCTTAAGGAATCCTGCATATTCATGGTTTTGGGAAAGTGAAGTCGAAAAGAAGTTTGCTTGCCCTATTTGTGGGAAAACATTTAAAGGAAGCAAGAATTTGTGGCAACATAAACAAGGACATGCTAAACAGTTGCACCAGTGCCCACAATGTTTGTTAAAGTTCAAATGGAAAAGTTACCTTACAGTTCACCTACGTCAATTCTGTTCAAACAGATCAAGAACAAATGCTCAGTGACTTCTTTAAGATTTACTTGTAATGAATAAACTCTTTCAGAACTGGAATGACTGTTTTACTCTGGACGTGAAAGTATTTGTTTATTATTATTAAGTATTTTTGGTTGGTTTTAAATGCCTTGGATTTATTATTTTGTAATCTATTTATTTCGCACTTTGTAGTCATGTCAACTACATCATTAGATATCCAGAATTTCTTTGTTATTACGTCAATAAACAAAGAACTGTCATCAGTCTGTATTTTTGGAAGTGCTAACTTGTTGAACTGTATGTCTATACATCAACAAACAAAGAACTGTCATCAGTATGTATTTTTGGAAGTTCTAACTTGTTGAACTGTATGTCTATATGTCCGTAACCATTTAACTTAACCGTTCTCAAAGTGGTTACAGTTCATTTGGATATATTTTTTTAAATATTTCATGTATAGTATCGGAAGCTGAGATGTTGTTACTGTAGATAACTTCTCCATTTCTTTTTCATCTCTTTTTTTTTTTTAGTCAAATTTTATCACACTCTCAGGAAGAAGAGGAAGACCTCCTAAGTTTCACAGATTGTCAGGCACCCAAGATATGTTCTGCCAGATTTGTCAGAAATACTTTGCCAACCGAACAAATTTCAAAGATCACATGGACATGCATGGACCTTACAGAAAAAAATTTCATTGTGATATCTGTAATAAAGCTTTCCTTTGGCGCAACAATGTATATGCTCATAAAAGAAATGTTCATGAGATTCCAGCTTGTCGCAATGTTGTAACAAATCCTAAAAGAGGTTATTATTAATTGACTATTGAGCATGATACATGTACATATAACCATTCTTTATTCAGCTTTTTATGAGTCTTATAATTACTCATGATTACATAATGATTATAAATACATCTTAATTTTTAAGTACAACTCACTGAAAGTTAGTGCTATCTGTGCCAATCCAGTGAGTACTGTATGTATGTGTGTGTGTATATATGTATATTATATATATATATATATATACACACACATACACATATAAGTCGTTTCTTAAACTATGTTTGTGAGTACTTACTATTGTACTTTTTAAAATCTTTGTTTCGTAAATTATTATTTGTAATTTTGCATACATTAATATCTGAAATATATGTAGTTTATTTTAAAGTGGAAGGATAGTTGCTTTGTAAGTCGTTAAATTATGTTCAGTAATACTCTTGGGTGTGTTTGATATATATTGTTAGTGTGATATTATTTTAACAATGTTTGTTTATCAAAGTTTGGATGTAACTAGAACGTAAATGGCTAATCTCAAACTGAAGCATTTAAAGTGTTTTTGTAACTTCTGCATGCTTGTCAAATAAAGGTTACGTAGTCCATAGTTGCATTAAAGTGAACGTTAGTACGTGAAGTATTTAAACTTGTATGGAAAAGTTTCGTATAAGATTAATAAACTAACTTCTGAGTCATATTGATTTCTCTGCCATTTTACAATAATTTGTCTGCGATTGAGCCATCAATAGCAGATAATGTAAATCAGGGTTGTCCAACTTCAAATCATTGGTGAACTGGATTGTAATTTAGCAATTAGGTTAATAATTACCATTCTGTAATTCTAGATTCCATAATTCTATTCAACTGCCAAAACGTATATCTGCCCACTTTTTCAGGGTGTTGCATCTAAAGACAGAATGAAAGATGTTTGATTAGTATACAAATAATACTCAATAAATATTTTGTCTATATGAAATGAGAAATATGTGATGTTTTTATTAAGTTAAGTTTTAGCTAAGTGATCCTTCCAATGCTCAGGGGCCTGGTGTGGCCCACCAGTTGAACAGCCCCAATGTAAACAGTTTTGGTGGATGATAAAAAGATGGTTTAGAAGTGTACAATTTTTTCATTACTTAAAATAAAAGAAATTCTTTACACGTTTTTCAGATGACTGATTTTCTTTTAAGGATGTTGGGAAAAAAAACTAATGATTTATCTATGTAACATTATTAGTAAAAGTGTATTTTATTTATCAATGTAGACCAGGTGGTTAATGTAATATTTTAAAAAATTGATTTTTTTTGTCTACAGTCAGCACTTGAGCTAGCAAACACCTGCTTTAAAGATATTTTCAGGTTAACTGTTATGTAACTAGGTTATCTCTAAGGTTGCTTGCAGTGCGTGTTAACAGATTTCGGTCATGTGTTGAAGTTGTCTTTATTCAAGTAAACTGACTTAAACATATGAAGTACAAAGTGTTCTATTTCATGCACACTATTTTTTTCTGAGATGTATTCTGTATATGACAATAAAAGTGTTAATAATAGCTACAAGAGGAAATAAAATCCAAAACATTTAATATCAAATTTTCTGATTTAGCATTACACCATTATGTAGAACATATTTAAATAACTTATTTAATTTATACTTATTAAATATTTGATCGGTTATCTCTTTGCTTTAGCCACTGTTGTTTAATAACTTCTTTTCAATACTGTATTGAAACATAATTAAATAACTAATTTGTACATATTAAATTTTTGATCAATCAGATCTTTACTTTAGCCACTGTTGTTTATTAACTTCTTTTCATTACTGTATTGAAACATAATTAAATAACTAATTTGTACATATTAAATTTTTGATCAATCAGATCTTTACTTTAGCCACTGTTGTTTATTAACTTCTTTTCAATACTGTATTGAAACATAATTAAATAACTAATTTGTACATATTAAATTTTTGGTCAATCAGATCTTTACTTTAGCCAGTATTGTTTAACAAGATCTTTGCAATATTATATTGCCGACTTATTTGAAATAACCAAAATCCTAACTAGCAATGTGTAAAGTTTTCTACATGGTGTAATCGTTGCTAGTCGTAAAATTCAAGTGGATAATGTGGACCACTGTAAACATTATAATAGATAAATATTGCACATAAATAACAAAAATAAGTCTAAACCCTCACTCCTGCTAAAAAAGCCTTGCAGTTCAGGCTAATGTTTCTTATCTGGAAGCTTGTTGTTAGCTATTAAAACAGTTTTACTTTGGGAATTCGAATTATGGATGCACATTAATGTAACATGAGGTTTTTCATAGAAAAACAATTTCTAACTTGGAGAGTCTCTTTCTACTTTGGTCCTCGTAAGTCTGTATTTCAGGCAATATTCATTTTAAACCTCAGTAAATTTCTGTAAAAATGTTAAAAACTTAACCTGGGGTAGAAAGATATGTTTAAATTCAAGTTAACATCTAAAATAGTAATCACCTAAATATTGAAAGCTGACTCGTATATTAAATCAGAAATTGTTAACTTGTTCACTAAAGACATCATTCAGAACTTAATGATATTTTAAAGCTTTGGAGACGCCAAGACAAAAAATGCATGTATGTGTTTATTCCTTTCTAATTGTATTTATAGACTATTTAAACTTGTCCTTACATTTTTTTTATTCAAGTGGAATGTAAATTTTTACACTACTGATTTATATTCCCAACTAAACCCCCCCCCAAAAAAAATTAAATCATAGTAATATTTTCCTTTTTTTTATATTAATAATACATTCTTTAATTAATTATACTTTTCATGAGACATTAGTATGAGGCCTATTATATTTTTGAACACTGCAATCTTTATATAATCTCTTTGAGATTTTCAAGAATTAGAAGATTATATAATAATAGTATTCCAACCTTACTATATTTGTCATATCCATTGCCGTTGACGTGTTTCGTTCAACCCAGAGCTTATCACACCATCTGGGACACAACACATACAGTAGAGGTTGGGACATTATTTATATAACAACCTGTAATACATTCACACTGTGACAATGCATATTTTAATATTAAACAACAATAATTAATGTCTTGATATATTTTTATAGCATTTTCTCCACTATAAACACAAGTGTGTTTTAGCGTATGCTTAAATATTGCTGATTGTTTTGTTTGTGAAAAACATTCTGATTTATTCTAAGTGAACCTCAGTATAATAATGACAATCTTATTTGCAGATTACTTTTTATTATTAGCAATCAAGAATGTCTTGTGCTTTAGCTGTGCATACAAAAAAATAAATTGAAATTTTAAATCATATAAATGGAAACCTTGCTTTATACTAGTGTATGTAAAATAGTTATTTCTAAGACTGAACTTGTGATTGTGTATATACAAGTCATTTGTAACACAATGATTTAAATGCAAATTTGACTATTTTTTTATTCAGTTTTCAATTTATAAAAGTATTTATGGTAAGTCATATGCCACTGTCAGACTTAATAAATCTGTTTTTTATTACTTTGCTTAGCATTTAATAACATTCAGATTATTTGGTGTGTCACAACTTACTTTGAACTTGTTTTGAAAACAAGTCATGTTGCAGCTCAGTACTGAGCTTTACCTGAAATTTAGTACAAGTACATACAGGGTGGGGTAACGGTTATGATATTGTAACCATTAAATAAAATAATGAAAACAATTTAATTATGGTATATTTCAGGGTAAGAGGTTAGAAATTTTATGATGTCTAAATGAAACAACTGTATAGACACTTTTACCTCACTCTGCATACTTGTAAAACATTTAATTCAATAAGAGCAAGGAGTAGATAACTAATGCTAGCCAATAAAAGTAGGTGAATTATTATGAAAACATTTAGACTAGCTGTAGCACTGCTAACTTGTGGTATATGAACAAGTAAAGTGATAGAAGGCCATTCATCCCGTTGATCATCTCTCTACCCACACAAACAACCAATCCAATCTAAAATTAGCCTCCCATGTCCAAACCATAAAAGACTCAAAGTAAACCACCTCCATGAAATTCAAACTTCTTAATTAATATTCTGAGTAGCACCTTATTAAAAACTGAAAGTCAGAATATACCAAACACCCAGAGTGAAGACTTTTTTTGGAAGTTTGTGAGAACTTTGATGAACATGCAAAATTACCCCTATGTGTGAAAATTGGAAGACAGTCTCATTGAGTTACCAATGTACTCACTAGTCAGTACTCAACGTTCACATTTTGTTGTCTCTCCCTTGAATTATGTCGTTTGATTTATCTTTTTATTAATATAAACCATTCTAAGTTGTTTTTCAAGAAATATTTGTTGATTATGCGGCTTTAAAACGTAGAGAACCACTGTATTGGAGTTTTCTCATAAAAGAAGAAAAAACCTTATCAAAACAACTAATAAATTCATATGGTAAAAGCAAATCTTTTTGTAAAACTACTCTGAGAAATGTTTCTAATTTGACCTCTGACAACATATTCAGAATTTTGTAAGCAAATGAAGTCAGATTAAAGGGCTTGTAATTTTCTGGATTATTCCTCAACACACCCTTTTAAAATAGGATCATATTGGCATCCTTCCATCCATCAGCAATTTCTAATAACTTGTAACCTTTCAGAGTGTGCATATAGCCCTCTTGTAGCTTTGCACAAAATTCAAACCATAACATACCTTTTGAAGTTAATCCCTACCAATTCTTTACTTGGCTTTTTTATGTATTAAAATAAATATCACCAAGGTCATAAGCTCTCATCCATGTACAATATAGGTGACTTTTAAAGCAGCTGAATTTAAGAAAACATTTTGAATCTTTCAGAGAAAATGGTTTATTTTGTTGTTTTTGTTTTCCTTTAGTTATTATATAAATGTGAGTAAAGAGGTTTTACCGTTTAGTCATGCTTATTTCCCAAGTCAGAATCCATTATTGGTTGTATATTATTGTCAACAAAAACCATGGAAATTAGGCTTGATATTTTTAGGTAAGAAATTTTTGTGGTACTTCCAATT